TTTGTATTCAGGAACTCTTTATATACTATCTACGTAACAGTTAAATGAAGCATTGAAGTAGATTTTTATAATTATGACTTTTTAAACAAAATAACAAACAGAATAACAATACAGTTTTAAAATGTTGCGATTAAAGTTTTATTTAAAAAATGAACTTAGATTTTTAATTTATTTTCCTTTTTTTTTTTTTTTTTTTTTTCACATTTTTTAGTTATAAGTTATTGTATAGAGAGGAACACAAATCCAGGGACCACCCCAGGCCATGAACTTCGTCATCGCAATCCCCACAGTAAAAATTCTGGTCACATTGCTATATTATACGAATACAGTACATCACAGAAATTTTCAGCTATTCAAATTCGAATATACCCTTTTTTGGATGTTTATGAATAGTAAAAAAAGGACTAATTACGGAGATCGTTAAACAACGGAATTTTTCCCGCTATTCCCTTAATTACTCTCGCGTGATAACAAAAGGATTCGTATTCTTATGTTTTTGCGGACTGAAATAACCTTCTGCACACGAAAAAATTAATTAATTAAATAAATAACACATTGATAAAACGTTTATAAAACGTCTGGATTCTTTGGTCAAAAACAAAGTGAAAGCGAAACATCACGAATTTCGTATGTTAAATGAATTCATATTCTTGTCACCGAAATTTATCAGTATAAATTGCACGATATAAAGCCTAGATGTGAATTTTTTTAGTTCAGTTAAGCAAACACTTAATTTATGGCGCAGCTATCTGATATGAGATATGGCCATTTTCTTTTTTGCTCAAATGGGCGAAAGAGAAGTTAAAAGAAACATAGGGCGGTTCACCTTTTTTCGTCTTCACATCGCAAACAACTTGAGATGATGTAGCGGTAACTTCCGTTCTCCAGCTTGGCTACAAGTTTGGCGTAATTTTTCAAACGCAGACCGTTGTCGGCAACCCTGAGGATGAATTGAAGTACGTGAAGCGTTTTGAGTTTGAAACTTCCTTTCTCTAGAGCTACTAGAAAACTTTTGTAGTTAAGCGAATAAGGCGGGGTTTTGATAGTTTCTTTTAGTAATGCGATGAACTGCTTGTAGATGAAGTGTCACTGCTGAACTGGGTGAGTGACACATCAGTTTGCGGTCTGTACTAAGATAAAAGGTAATCTCGCTAGCAAGTGATGTAATATACGATCGCGAAACAAAGAATTACTTGAATCATGGAATGACGGAGCGAATTTTTAAATTGAATGAAAAGAAATCTGCCTTTTTACCAAACTGGAGAGTGGTTCCAAACTCTTTACAGAAACATGCGCTTCTGGAGTAAAATGTTTCAGGTATAAGAACACAACAAACGTTTAAATTTATATTTATCAGAAAAGTAACATATATAAATCTTTGAGAATTTTCTAAATTGTTAATTACTTCTAGAGCACGAGGAATATTTCACTATTCAGTGTGTAAAAGCATAATCGTTTAATTTAAAACTTCAGAAAATTTTCATCCAAAATTTAAAGTTATCACCAAAAAGGAAAGCTTACGGATGTTGATACTGTATTAAAGGGGAAAAAAGAATGATTATTACTTATATTACAGAATGATTATTGTAATATTCTCACATAGAAATCTAGTGCACCAAAATTTCTTAAAACTCATTTCACTCACCGCATCGGAGTAGACCTTTTTACGAAAGTTACGACTCACCCATAATGATACAAAGTTTCTTACAAAAAAGAGTGAGAGAGGGAAAAAAATTGGAGATTAAGGGGGGAAAAAAGAGTTTCTTAACAGTATTTTACCGCTATTAAAAACAGCCTTTAAACTTTTGTTGACTTAAGCTAAAAAGAAAAGAAAAGAACGAAAGAAAATTTAAGTATTTGAAAGTTGTACTAGCATTTGTAAAACATCTGTTACTATTTAAACCGTTACTGTCTAAAATTGCATATAAAAGCCTTGTTTTGCACAAGTTTTTGTACATACTTTTGTACTATGTTTATCAGATATCATTCAGCTTCTGTTAAAACTAAGAAAAAGTATCATTCAGCTTATGTAATTAGAATGTTATGTAGAATGATATCATTCAGCTTATATAAGGAAATACTTCCAGTTTGATAAACAAGAATTTTTTTAAATAAATAAATTACGCTATAATTTAGTTATATTAAATAAATCCTTAAAAAACTGCGATTTTTTTCATTTAATATTATGCTTTGAATTAATAAATTTCCAAATTTTTCTTTAGAAGGCGCTTTGAAAAAACGCGAAAAGTTAACAAAAATTCCTAAATACAGTCCACCCACCAATGGCGAAACTCTTGTTGGAACGTGCCAGGAAATTCCGATTTGCACTTTAAAGAAGAGAGACGTGTTGGTTTCGCTTATTTGATTAGTGCAAAGCACTCGAGGGCTATCTGTCTGAGGGGTGCCTACGTGGAGTACTTTCTAAAGGAAGCTGACTCGTATACACGTTACACTTGGGAAAAACCATGAAAATGCCTATTCAGAAAGCCCGTTGGCAATAACTACTCTTTCTTCCAAATGGATTGTTTTTTCGCTCATGCGCTGACGCTTCGTGATGATTAGTTTAACGTGGGTAGACAGAAAGTTTCTGGCATGGAAATAATTTCAACTAAATATTAGATGAATGGATTTTAAGAGTCTGCAATTTTGATGTGGTAAACGTCAATAAGTCTGTTAAACGTAAGCTGCAGAAATATGGGATTATTTCTGAGTTGGCAAATGTTTTTGGGTCGTAATGAACAAAAGCGGGAAAAATACACAAGGAATATATTATTTCCGAAAAATATCAATAATACGCATAAGCATATAGTGCTTTTGTTATGAGCAAGATCAAACCACTGAAGCTTTAAATTGATGGCATACACCCAAACATAGGAATCATTGCGTTAAATTAGATTCCAGTTCAGTATCAGTGCCTCTTCAACATTAGTCAATGAAGTACATATATGCAGCATGCACTGCATTTAGTTTAGTCATCGTCAACTAATACTATTGACACCAACGCGTCAAGTAATGTTCCTTCACTTAGGTTAGAAAATTTCGTTACTGGACATTAGATGACTAATTAGTAAGGGACTTGATGAATTGAGTCATGTTTCGATTAGACGAACGTATTCATGAGGCAGCCACATGATGTTAAAAATCTTTCTTAAAAATGAATTAAAAAATAAGCAAGAGGTTGTGCAAGTGAGTGTGGCTATCTCTTGGTCCGAGATATATTCATTTGGAAGAGCAAGAACCACCTCTCCTCAGAATTTCTATTGGCAACATCATCGTAAATTTATTAACCATTAACTACTCAACCAACCTTCATGATTGTCATTTCTCCAAAGGTGATGTTTTGTACCAGCAAGATAGTGTCAGTTCTTCTGCTATTTTCTCATCCGAAGGATAACCCTGCTAGTAACTCATTTGACAATATGTATGGTGATACAGGACTAATCATTCTGCCGATTACCAGTATGGCACTAGTTGCCACGATGACTTAATCTTATTGAGCAATTATGGGATCAGAGGCATAACCAGAACTTTTGCCTCCAGGGCGATCGTTGAGTTTGCTGTCTGGAGCAATCTTTCAATTTGCCGCTTTTCTCCGTACACAAGCAAATAGCTAAAAAAAATGTAAAGAAATAAATTAAAACTGTATATAACACTTTAGAGTTTTAAAACAAAACTTTAATTCCAACATTTTAAAATTATATTATTATATTGTTTATTTTTCTATTCGCGAAACCATCAGTAACACTCTAGATGTCTACTTCATTGCTCCAGTGGTTGTTATGCGGACTCCATAAAGAGATTTCCTAAAACGAAAATATACATTTTTAGGTCTTAAGAAACTTTTTAAAGGATTTTTTATTTTAAAAACTCTTCTCAGAATTACCAGCACTTAAAGTAATTGTGACAAAAATTTACTGCAGTATTATAATATTTGGAACTTAGTTCTAGAGTTCGTATTTTAGAAAAAATCGCCGACGTTCAAAAGGACTTCCCTTCCATGTCTCCGTTTCGTTTTTCCTACCCATAATAGAAATAAAACTCAGAAATACTTCTCTTTAACGAGAAATGTTTCTTTTTTAATATCATCGTGATTATAATTTACTTAACATTCGTATTTTTCAGTCGAAAGTTTACACGGAGTAAAGAAAGTACAGCAAGAGTACGTAGATATTGAAATCTAGCAGTGACCTAATGTAAAAACCATTTTCCTTCTAATTGAATTCTACATGGCAATTCATTATTCACCTGCTTCGAAGATCCACATAACAAAGCCCTATAAAATAACATTTCATGTGAAAAATGCCGGCCCCAAAATGTACCACCCCCAGTTATACTTATTGTTATTGCTAAAATGTTTGTTGTTATTTCTGTAAATAAGGCAGTAGTCATTCGCTCGTTCCGTTTCTATTGAAAATTTCAATGTAAATAAATAGACATATCCGTTTCAGTTCCAGTTTTTAAGTGATCAAACTTTTTTTCATAACTTGTTGTATTGTTCGCTGTCAATAATAAAATAAATTGTATATTTCATATAGAAATATAAATAAAAATTAAAAGTGATTTAAATTTTGTTGCAAAGGTATTAACTGGCGCATTCTGCGATATCTGATATAAATATTTTGTTTTAAAAAGATTCATTTCGTCGAAGAGTTTTTTGGCAGCAGATATAAATTTGATATTTCATTCTGCAGAGTCTAAGTCATTGTAAATGTCGTCAAAAAGATATATTCAAATGTTCCTTTACTTTTAATGTAACGATAATGGCATATCTTCTCTTTTTCTTATCTTTGGAATGTTTAAATACCATTTTGAAAGCTTGTTGTACATTCGTCCTTAAGGCGTCAACCGGCGACAAGGTATTCATAAATAAAATTTTATATTTTGGAGATGTTATTTTGCCATCTTTATTCATATCTAGGTTTTGAAGCTTCTACTATTTTATTTTTTACTTAAAAAGCCCTTTTTTTACCTTCTTTTTTTTATTTTTAGGTTTCTTCGCGTAGAATAACAAGTGCAAACGGATGGAGAGGGGGGAGGAATGAAAGAAAGAATGCGTACTTAGTAGTTTCCTTTCATGAAATATTTTTACAGAGGCTGATAGAGCTGTATGAAAATCTCTAAAGAAACTTGAATCATAATCCTCTCTGTAGAAATGCTTCTGTTTAAAACTCTAAAGAAATGTTATTAAATCTTTCACGGAACAGAATTCTATAGAAGAGCTGCTTTCCAAAATCATACAAAAATTTTACAAACCCTCTACGAAACTTTGCTCAAAAATCCGCATTTTCCAAATTTTAATCAAAGCAAATTTTTAGTTTCTGATGCATTATATAAGATTCATAAAAGCAAAATAAATTTTTTACTCATAAGGCTAATTCAGTTTTGAATGGAAGGTTTTGCTTTTTAGTTTCTAAATGTATGTAATATTTCGTTCAAGTTTTGTACTGTATCTCATACATGTGGCAAAATTAAATATTATTAAAGCATAAAATCAATTTAAACCACAAAACTAGTTCAAAGATTAAATTTTGCTGTTAATTATAAAATTTTAATTCTTGAAATTAATGCTTTTAATTGCTGTATTGCAGAGTCTCACTCTTTATGGTAAAATATACTAAGTCCGAATGGATCTAAGCGACTTATCGCTATGTCCAGTAAGCAAACAGAAGCGTAAGAAGGGTGTAAAAGACACTTTTATGAAGAACTCAATTAGCTGAGCAGAAGGCACTGCTGGTGCTTACAAAACCAGTCTGCATTTGTGGCGTAAACTCAAAGTAAAGCATTCAAAATTAAACTAAACTCTAAAGTAAGCCCAAGGCTACGCAGAAATAATTAACGCGTAAGTTGGCTCAAACCTATACCGGCCTGAAAGCACTATCTGCAAGATTAAAGCAACGCCGTAGACAGTAATGCTATCGTAGAACATCAACTAGCAACATGATCTTCAGCAGGCGTAACACGCTCTGACTAAACAGTCTAAAACCTCAGACAAAGTTAAAACATTCTTATTCAAAAGTTAAAATTTTCTTAATCCCAAAAGAATTTTTTTATTTTATAATGCCTTTTATGTATTCAAAAATTGTACAAGAAAGGAAACTGAAGCTGTTATCAAGGCAGAAAGTAATCGAACAATTGAGTCCTTTTTGGGAGCTGATTTGGAAAAAAAAAAAAAAAATTACACAGATGGTTCATCAGATGAGACTATCCAACAGAGTGAAGCCTCTATTCACATCACTGTACCAAATGGAGCAACTATACTCCAAAGCCATAGAGCAGGCCACATCGCTTCCAACTTCGCATGTGAATTAAAAGCAATCCAGGAGGCTCTGAGAATTTACATCGATTTCATTACGACTTCTGAGAATTAATGATAAAGCCAGAGGACTTGTAATTTACTGTGACGCTAAAGGTGCCCTAGAGACAATACTGCAAGGACATTCAAGACTCGCCCAGGATACACACCAACACCTAAAAATAATCAACCAAGATGGGAAAGGCATGCGGCTATGCAATGGATACCTGCACATGTTGGAATCAATGGAAACGAGATAGCCGATTAACTGGCTGAAAAGGTAAGAAATCTCAACTCAATTCCCGTCACTCTTGAAGATGCTAATGCCATTGCCAGATATAGACTCAAAGAGAAATCTATTAAGAAAGACTATCAGATATGTGAGATTGATACAAACAGAAAAATTACAAAGACCATTACTAGACTGAGAACCTGCCATTTTAGAGGAATGAAAATGGCACCAGATCATATAGAATTTGTAGAAACTGCCCCGAAACAGAGCTTTGTCCCGAACTTTTTGCAGCTCTGCAAAGCTTGAGGGAATTTTTTTTCCAGGGAGGGCTGTATAGTGAAAATAGTGTGGAATTGGGAAAAGCTGTGATTTCCATGCATGGATCCATTTGACTCAGAGGACACGACACCAACCAACCAATCAGATATTCAAAAACATCTGTAGGATTATTTATAGAAAATTAAAGCAGGGAAATTTTTTTTACAATTCTTTAGTACTGTGACCCATTTTCTATAATCTTATCAGTTATTTAATATTTCCGGTAGAATTCTATTAGTTGAGTCTGTGCAGATTATGGCAGATTCTGTATGTGAATCTTCAGAAATTCTTTACAAATTTTTATAGGACCTCTGTACAAATCTCTTGAATATCTACATATATATCTCTGTATCTCTATAGAAGCTATATCTGATTTTTTTTTAATTCTACGTAGGATCTCTGACTTAATTTATAGAAAATTTAACCATAATTCTAAAGGATTCTAAGGAAGTTTAACATTGCATTTTTTAATGAATTCTATAGGAACTTTTAGTAAAAGGCTACTTATGCTTTTACATATGAGTATTATTTCAAATTTTAACACTAAAAATACTAATTAAAAGTGATTTAAAGAAAATCATGATTTTTAATCAGAATTATTTCACATCTCTTTTAATGGATACTTTTATACTTTCTGGTATTCGCAAGCATGCATGTTGCTTTGTATAATGGAATTCGATTAATACGAGACTTCAAAATTATATGATTTTCTGGTGTGAACCATACTTGCATATACTTGAATGAATAAAAATGCCAGAAATCAAATAATTCAGTATAAAAAAAGGACTCTGTGTATCGGACCGCAAAATTTTATTCACTTGCCAGTTATTTCCATATACTGTAAGCCGAAAAGGTTTATCAAATTCTTTACTGCTGAGCTCTGGTGGTCAACTTAATAATTTGTTCACAAAACAATATTATAAGTTAATTGAGAAATTATTCTTTTTATTTTATTGAATCTTAGTGTACATCATTATCATTTTTTGTACAGATATTTGATTTAAATTTTCTAGCAATTCTAAGAAGTCTTCGAGGCAAATCCGGGTGAATGTCATTGTTATCCTTTTGACCATTAGCACCGCTGTTAGCCTTCTCGTAGATATTATCATCTTCAGTTGCACCCATAGCATTGCTCAGAGATATAATTTTTAACTTAACAGTAACAGAATATGCAGTCCTTTTCTGATTATATAGCAAAAATGAGGAATCGTATTTTACTCGTAAATGCCAGACCTTCCTATTAAGCGCAACGGAAGGGGGGGATCTTGCAACTGCTTGAGAGCCAAACTAAAATTCTTCATGCTGTTGCCAAAGCTAGAAGTGATGTGTATATTTCTCAATTCTCCAAAAATTTGGAGAATTGAGAAAGTGAAACTTGCTGTTCCTAAAGGCCGGCCACTTGTAACTTAATTCTTTCGTCAGAAATGGTCATTTAACTGTCTCATCATCAGGAACGTTGCCCAAGATAAACCACAAATTACACTCCCAAGAATGAGGAAATTATGTCCCAGTTCTGGTGGAAAAACGAAAGTGGAAGTGACACTAAAGGCGAAATGATAAGCTATCTGGTTAATAAATATTAAAAGCCGTGCATCGTCCTTAAGCTAACCTATGATAACGAGGTAACTATAAGTACTGAAGTTTAATTAGATCAAGTACAGGTTCTTAATTGATGAAGATGGATGCAGTAATAGCTAATAAAAAATACGTTTCTTTCTAAGATTCCAAGAACTGCCGTTCTTTTACTCGGATTTTGAGAAAATAGCTGTCCATCTTGTAAGATCAAGGAGGACAAAAAATATCACCCAAATGTAATTTTCCGCTAACATGTTTCTCAGAAATACTGAATTTCTATTTCCTGATGACTGAGAACTCCTGATGTGAACATAGTCCAGATAAGCCAAGAAGAAGGGGTTCCGCCTGTCGTTGTCGATGCCACTGCGAAAATTTTTGATGGAAGCTGACAGAAATATAAAGAAATTTCTCTAGAAGTTTATATGTAATCCTAAATCCAGAAATGCTTATGTATAAAAATCTACAGCAATTTTATAAAGTTTTCACACACTAGAACTGTAAACATGCTGCTGTGCATAATCATACAGAAATTTTATAAAACCGTAGTAGAATGGTATTCTATAGAAATCTGAGTAGTTTTCAAATTGTAATGAAAGAAAATTTTTAGTTTTTCATATACTATGTGGGATAAATGAAAGCAAAAATAAACCCATTTTATTCATAAGTATTGAATAATTTCTGTATGGAAATTTTAGCTTTTTTCCATCTAGATTAGCATTTTTATAGCTTCTAAATGTATGTAACATTTTGTGCAATTTTATATACAGTATTGCCTATGTAATACAAAAATTAAACCGTGTAAAGGCATAAAATCAATTTAAGTCATAAAATTAATTAAAGCATTAACTTTATACTGTTAACTGTAAAATTTTAAATCCTAAAATTCATGTATATGTACCCCTGATGAGAGAAAAGATTTCTTAATTTTAATGCAACTTAAATATTATTTAAAATGTTTTTAGTTTTATTTAAATATTTTTTGAAATCCAAACCATATTGAATTTTTTATTAGGAAAAAAAAAATCGCGTCTGTTCCGAAAATTTCTATTCCTCTCCGCGTGTTAGATCATTCCAAAATTTAGACAACGTTAAATTCTACCCAAAAATGAAAATTTAATTCGTTTTTTTTAATCCGAAAATAAAATTTTATACATTTTATAAGGCTTTCAAATACTCAAATGCGCCTTCAGGATCTTTTATAGAAAATTAAAGCAAGGAAACTTCTTTAGAATTATGGTCCAATTTTCTATAGAATAGATCTGTTCATTTCAGTCGAATTCTGTTAGTTGATTCTATACATATTATATATAAGATTCTGGATGTGGGACCTTCAGAGCTTGAATTGCGCCGAAGCCCAGTGGAGAACCCGGCTTCGGTACTTCTTAGTTTCTAGATATATTCTAATTCTAGCCGCAGCGCACCGGAGTCCTAAATCAGAAGGCTCCGGCACTTCTTTTATGTTAACTGAACAATTATTTTAGTAAAAATTTGATCTCGAAAATCTTACTTTTAGCAATAAAATTATATTAAAAATCGCTTATAGAATTTTAATTTACCTCTTTACATTTTATTTAATTTTAATCATTTAATGAGTTTAATCTTTAATTATTTTAATAAATAATGATAAATTACTTATGAATTAATTAAAAAATAGTTATAAATTAAAGAGTAATTAATAAATATTAATTATTAGTGTCAATTAAATAATTATTAATTAATTTAATACTCACTAACTATATAATTTTTTTAATTATTAATGATTTTAATAGTCATTTTATTTATTAACTCTTGTTCCTCTTTCCTGACGGTCTTCCGTAGGCTCCGGCACTTCTACTTTTATAAATTAAGCCTTGGGGACCTTAAAAAAATCTGCATAAAGTTTTAAAGAATCTCTACAGAATATCTACGCATATCTCTACAGAATCTTTGTGCACAAGCTGTACATAAAATTTTATAGGTTTTTTTTAAAAGACCTCTGGCCTAGTTTATGGAAAATTGGGCGATAATTCTGAATAATTCTAAAGAAGTTTAGCATTGGAATTTTTAATAGAATTCTATAAGACATATTCGTAACGGAGTACAGTATGAGTAGAGTATGAGTACAGTATGAGTGATAGGTACAAGTTTAAGTGACACAGGACACCAGTTATTCCTTATTGGTCGTACAGGTGTCCCGCCGCACTAGCTAAACTGCTTCGACCCACCTTCGACGGAGAACACTCCAGAGGGTGCAATCAACTTAGTTGAGAGCTTCAAGCACTTTTCTCTTGATAAGCTCTGTTTGAAGCTTTGAAGAGAGAAGATTAACCATGTTTTTATAGGTACAATTTTTCTATTTTATGTAGATTGAATAGGTTTTTTTTTTTTTTTTTTTTTTTTTTACTTTTTTTTTTTTTAAATTTATCTTTGATTTAGATGTTTTGGCATTGTTTTACATGTAATTTCACGAATTAGGTAGGATGTTCAAACGCCTTTTACGGCCCTAGCTAGGTTTTCAACCTCTCCTTTTCTTATATATATATATATATAAAAGAAATATAATTAAAGAAAAGAGAACAAACTAAAATAGTCCTTTGTGGTCAAAAAATTTTGCGCATTGAGCTGCAAAATTTAGGAAACAAGTTAAAAGAAAATTCCCGGTGCTTACGCCAAAACGTCGCTTAGATACTGTGGTACCGTTGACAATCTTAACATAAGTAAAATAAAGTGCAATGAAAGGTGTAAATATAAAATATTAAATAAACAATATCAACATTTGACTATTTATAAGTAAAATTCAAAACTAATTGCAAATAATATGCTTATCAAGCTAAGGCATATTTTAAACATTAGAATTAAAGTGTGACAAACTTATATATATATACATTTTCTTTCCTCCAAAAGATTTTGGCACAATACTTTTAATACTATTGTTTTAATAGTTTTAAATTACTTTGATGGCCAATTCTACTTTTAGTAACAAATCGGGCCTTTTCGTTTTTCATTGTAGCTTGATCGCCCTCTAGCTTGAAGAATTACGACTTTTATTAACAAATGACTTTTTTCCATTTTACTCTTACTTTTATGGCCATGTTAAGTATTTTTTGCTGAATTAGCCATTTTCACATTTAGAAACAGTTTTATTCTTCTACAACTTGACTGACGACATTTTGAAT